TTCGTCGTAGGTGGGATTTGAACCTTAGACCTGCCACTTGGAGGATGACAACCCAACTACTACACTAGGATCACCATTCTCATTGTATCTAGTATTATATTTCTGTTAATTCATCTTATAATAAAAACTATATATATCTTTTTAATAATACTCTTTTATCAGATCATATTATTATTGCTCTATATCTTCTTTTTATATTTTATAACCTATCTCTTAAATCTAATTCCTTTAATTATACTTCTATTATATCTAATCTATTTTTTAATAATTATTTTTTAACTCTTTCTAATTGCAGTTCTTCTCTACCTTTATTCAATTTATTTTAATATTGTCATATATAGAGTTTGGAACCGAATTTAGTTTTTAAATCTAAATTTATTTAATTAGTGATCTTCAGCTTCAGATTTAAATCCTGATTGTTAAATCGATATCTGGATGTAAGCTGCAACTCGTGATTGGTTTATCACATGAATTAAATATCTCCTAATGATTGGTCATATATGTTAACGTGTGATAATCTACATTCTTAAACTATTAATAATATTATTATAATAATAAATGATAAAGAGTTCTTTACATTTAGGTGTGTTTTATGTTTAGCAAAAACCAATTTTAGCATAATAATTAAGTTAAAAATCATTTCTGCCTTCTAAGTATTTCTAGTTTAAGATCTTTTAGATTCTTAGATTCTTTTGCATATGAGTGTTATTGCATACTTGATAAGCACAACTGTAATGGCAAAACAACTGTAATAGCAGACTAATCAGGTCTACTGAATAAACAGCTATATATTAAAAAAAATTAAATGAATCTAACTAAAGATTTTTAACTTTATTTAATAGAATGCGAAAATCTTGTGAACAATCTTTTTATTTGGTTTTAGCTGAAGTTCAAATATGAGCTTCTTAAAAAAAAAAAAATGAGTTTAATTCATTCTTCAATTCATGATTATAACGCAATGTTTTTTTTTATTCTAATTAATAAATTCTAAACCAATCTACTGAAAACTGAAAAAAAAAACTATTCATTGGTTTCTAAAAATGAAAATATAGGAAAGTATATAGTATTACATTTTAAAAATAAGATGCTATTAACTAAACTAGATTCTAATCACATTCTTCTTGCTAATATATGATTTCTAGCATCAGAAAAGAAACATTCACTAGGAACTGATGTAGCAGGTATCGAAAGATATTTATGTGCTAATTGTGATAAAAAGAGATAACTTACCTGATGTCCTTTCTACCAATTCAAAGGATTCACATTTTTTGGTTCACTAGGATAGCATAAATAATGGGTAACTTCATCTTCTTCTATTATTTGATCAGTAGCCCACATTTTTGTGAATATATCTTCAATATTATTATTTATTTCAGTTGAAATACATTCTTCAATATTTTCACAATCTGCTGAATTTTGCTTAAGTTGAGTATATAAGTTTCTTAAAAGAAATTTGGCTTGCATTCGTTGCTGTGTACAATCAGAACCATTTGCAAACAGAAAATTTTTCATTTGAGAGTCTAAAATTGTTGCAATTAAAGATGCTTTATTTGGTATTTCCCATAGTTTATTTAAAAAAAGATATGTGGCTGCACAGACTCTTTGAATAAGATTTTCTGTATTTGTTAGTTCCAAACATTCAATTTGTTTAATGTTTTCAATTTTATTTTGTTTAGTTATTTGCTTATGACTTTGACCTCAACCTTGACCTTAACTCTTATATCGAACTCAATCTTAACCTTGCCCTCGTGTATTTTTTATTTATTGTTTGATTTGTTGATAGGCCTGTTTCAAGTATCACTTATTTCTAGCAGTAGGAACTTTATTATCATTACTTGTAGAACTTGAATCATCATTTTCAGCATTTTCTAAAATATCATCTTGTATTAAAGAACTATAAATAAAATCTAAATAACTATCTATGTTTTCATTTTCTTTAGTTTTAGGTATGAACATTTGTTTTAACATGTATATATATAGATGTACTAGATTAAGTATTGAATATGTAGCACCTAATAATTGTCATGTTATAGCTTCAAATAGTTCTAATAGTTGGACCATTTCTTGAATGAAACTATATAAAATAAATTTATAGAAATAAATTAAAAAAGTAAATAATTTATAGCAAAAATTTAAATATTTAGTAGTTCACAAATTTACTGAGGATGTTGTTAAGTAATTTTACTAGTTAAAATCAAAAATTCAACATGTTGAATAGCACCATTAATCAATAAAGTTAAAGGCATGGCCTCACCATTAATATTTAAAAAAAAAAAAAAGAATAGCACCATTAAACTGCTATTCAATATGTTAAATTTTTAATTTCGACTAGTGCATCTTAATGTAATTTGCTAATAATCGAGATGTTTTTTAATTATTGTGATTGATTGAAGTGATCCTTATAAAAGATTTAGGATAAATATTTAACTTTAGCCAATCAGAACAATTTTATAAAAAAAATAATTTCTGCCTTCATATTTTGTTATGTTTGAGAATACTTTAAGTTAGTGAACAGTTTTGGAAAGTTTTTTATATAGCCAAAACTTGTCCAAATGACATCCTTGCTAATTTGTACAGAGGTTCTCAATGTTCAGATCAAAATCCATCAGAATTAATAAATTTTACTTTGGGATTTTATAATATATAAATTATATATTAATATGAAAATTGTTTTTCTAAGGTCTATATAAATTGACCTGGCTGGGTTATAAAAACCAAAAAATTTAATTTTATGAAGCATAATGAAGTTATTATTCTATAGTCCCTAGTATTGCTTAGTCTTGCCACCCATACCTTGATAGATTTTGACTCGTAATTTAGGAATCTTTCTATAAAAATCATCAATATTCAAGGTAGAACTAAGTAAGATTTTGTAGAAGATCTGTAGAATTTTTATGGATAAATAAGACTTGCTAAATACTGCATTGATATTAATGTATAAAAATAAAGACTTATCTAGATAATAAAACTGAAGGATGCAAAAATTAACCATATAAATCATTCATTAGTCAAAGATAAGTAATAATAATATCCTGAGCCTTAGCATAAATGAAGTTTCTGCTTGTAGGGTATTATTCCATGATTTTGATATTACATTATTACTACTAGCAGATATTAATGAAAATGGCATATATAATTGTCATCTTTATACTTGTAAAATGTATTAATTTTTCCTAATATCTTTAATACTAGTGCATCATTTCCAATAGACTGTTTATTTTAATAAAGATTTGTTATTTGATTTAATTTCTAATAATTTGTTTAAATCTATAAGTGCTTCATTTTTTTATGATGCAATAAATTGTTTTGCATCTTCTCAATGCAATGCATTATTTGATCTTATTTCCAATGCTGTAATGATTTCAACTTTTATAATAATCTCAATATTTGATTTTCCAGTATATGTAATATATTGTAAACCTTAATAGCATAGCTGCATATAAAAATAAGTATTCATGCAGATTCAAATATATATGAGTTATCAAAACATGCCTATACAGTATATGCATATTGATAATTCATGAATATAAATCTGAATAAACTAAAAATCTACAATCATGTAATTATAATACAAAAATGTATGTCTTTATGATTTTTGTGATAATAATAGTAGAGAATTTTGAATATTATATTATTGCACTTTGCAAAAAGGTATAACTTCTGTAAATCATTGTATAATGTAAAATCACAGAAATTATATGATTTTTTGATTCTAAGAGAATTATACAAATTTCTAAATACATATAGATATCACTGATCAAATATCTGATTGATAGAAAATCAGAATTTTCACAATTTTCTACTATCATTATTATGAAAATCGTGAGATCACACCTTTTTGCAAAGCATAATAATAATATATTCGATCAATATATTTGAAAATCTGCATAATTCTTTTAGAATTGAAAAATTGTCGAGATCACACCATTTTGCAAACTGCAATAAATGATAGAAATTTAAAAATAGAGAATTAGAATTTGTTCACAGAGTATTAAAATACCAATTCCCTAATTTTATAGTAAGATATTTATATTTTTTCTTCAAGTGTTAAACATAATTTTTCTAATTTTTCTCTTTCTCTTTGAGATGTATGATCTTGTTTTACTAACAATGATGTTGAAACTAAATGTATAAAGTTATGTAATTCAAAAAGCTGTTTCTATGCTATAAAAGTAGAATTCTACTAAGTTTTAGTATCTATCAAAACATCTAGAGAACTTGTTGGCTCTTTGATATTTTCATTTTCAGTTGAACTATTATCTTGCTGCACCTTTCTTAATCTTTGTGCTTGTTTTGGTGATTTAAAATACAATTGCAAACTTTTAATTCGTCTATGTATATGTTTACATTGTTTTAGATCTTCATGTACAGATAATTGCAAAGTGTGGGCTGCACAGGGCTGTCTTTCAATAGAAGGTAAAGGATCATGAAGAAGGTGGATGGCTTTCACCATGTTTGCACTATTATCTGTAGCAATAGTAAAAACTTTATCAGTAAGATGCCACTGTTGAATAACTTGATTCAACTCTTCACTAATAATTTCACCAGTATGTAGATAATTGAGAACATTACAGGTTAATAAAATCTCACAAAATGTAAAATCAGAGGCAAGCCAAGTAGCTATTACTCCCATATATCCATAGTTACTCTTGGCTGTCCAGAGGTTAGTTGTTAAATGAACTATGATAGCAGTATCTTTAAGTAAATTATTTATTTGATCTTTACTTCATAAGTATGCTTTATGAATTAATTTTTTAGCTGTTTTGTTGCATGGTATACAAAACCCAGGCTCACAACCATAAATAAATTTGCAAAAATCTTTATCTTGAAAAATATATAAAGGTTCTATAAACTTAATTATAAACTTAATTAATAGCTGTGAAAGCTCTTTTTGTTGGGTTTTGCTACATTGAGGAATAAATATTTGATTTTCTTTTGGCTAATTTAAAATAATAAATTTTGTTACTATAAAATAACTAATATCTTTTACACTTGCACATATTTTTCTTACTTTATTATTCGTGTCTAAATAATCTCGATAATTATGTAATGTTATATCATGTTTATCACATAAATGATTAGAAATATTTGAGATTGTGCCTTCTTTACAACTATAAGGATAAGATGTTTTATTGATGCCAGCAAGGTTTTGCTCACATATTTTGCAATATGCTATATTATTATTTTTAGGGTCTTTGTGAAAAAAGTAAACTGTATGATTTTTATTAACTCTATCACTCTTGCTACTTTTACCTAAATTATTTCTACGTTTCTTGCGATTTCTTAAAAGGGTTGAATTCGTAGAAGCAGATGTTTTAGCTTCTGAGATAGAAGTTGACTCATCGATATCGAGGTTAGAAAAAGGAATAGAGAAAGATGCCATTTTACACATAATTATGTTTCACCCATTTACTACATTTATTTAAACTATACAAGTTACTATATTAATCATCTAATAATATTGTCATATAAACCTTAGTTCTTTGCGAGAACTATTGTGAGGACATAAAGTCTAAATTTTATTTTTTTTCGAGAATAGATAGATTTGTATAAGCTTTAGTTCTCTATTAAAACAGATAAAAAATATTATTAGAATATAAAACCAGAAGAATTTATTGCCTCTGGTATAAACTTGAGTTCTTGTAAAGAACTAATCCTAACAATAAATATATTATAAATCATCATGAAGATGTAAAGCTTGAAGTAAGTTAAATTTTATTTCTTTCTATATGAACTTTAGTTCTTACAGAGAACTAATGCTAATAATAAATGTATTACTATAGACCATCATGAAGATGTAAAGCTTAAAGTAAGTTAAAATTTATTTCTTCCTATATAAACTTTAGTTCTTATAGAGAACTAATGCTAATAATAAATGTATTATCATCACAAAAGTGTAATGGTAAAGCCTGAAGTAATTTAAAATTTATTTCTTCCTATATAAACTTTAGTTCTTACAGTGAACTAATGCCAATAATAAATATATTAGTTATAGACCATCATGAAGGCATAAAGACTGAAATAAGTTAAAATTTATTGTTTCTTATATGAACTTTAGTAATTGCAGTTATCACAAGGGCATAAAGTTAAAATTTATTGCTTTCCAAAAATGGATATTAATATACTAGTTCTAACATGAACAACCTAGTGTTACTCTGAAAAAATAGTAACCAGATTGTTTTGCTGGCCTACATGTAACTTTGAATATTAGGTAAAATTTAAAAATTTTTCTTCAATTTTGATAAAAATAACTTTCGCAGAAAATGAATAAATGTTGCCCAATTAAAAACCAGAAGTGAATTTTAAGTTTTCTACATATCAAACTTATCTTCTAAAAAAAATATGACAAAGTTAATCATGAAAAATCTTCACAATTGACTTTATAACGAATTTTTTTTTTTTAGGAGATAAGTCTGATATGTGGAAAACTTAAATATTTACTTCAGATTTTTAACTTGGCAACACTCAAATATGGCCACAATTATAAAGTACACATGTTTTTTTTATTATTTTAATTGTAAGTTGCAGACCCGTTGCGAAGTAATGAGAATAATATAGAGGAAATCAAAGAATTAGAAATTCAGATTAGTAAAAATCTGATTAAAAGTAACTTTGAACGAGTAAAAAGCTAGAAATAAATTCAAATAATAAATAAAAGAAAGATTTAATTAACGTAAATAAATAAGAGATGGTAAATGATAAATATTTATAAGCTTAAGTAGCTTATTTTAAATATATCAATTAAAAAGAATCTTAATACTCAACTAACCAAATTAATATGAATAAAATAAATTAGATGAATATTATGTAATGATAAATATTTGTGAACTTGACTAATCATTTTAAACATAAAAATCTTTATACTTGCCAGTTAAATTAAGCTAATAAATCTGAGTTAAAGATCTTTAGACTAAACAACTAAATTAATACAAATAAAATAAATCTAAATAATTATT